AGTTGAAGGTTGGAGACACAATCAGTATTCCTGCCGCTTTGTTTGCGGGGGGTATGTCGGGGGTTGCTATGTGGTCTGTTGTGTTGCCGATGGATGTTGTTAAGAATAGGGTTCAGGCGAGTCCGGCAGGGACGTATAAAGGAGTGTTGGATTGTGCAGCCAAAGTGTTGAAAGAAGGTGGGGTTCCAGCATTATATAAAGGGTTTGGGCCGGCTATGGTACGTGCTTTTCCTGCGAATGCGGCTGGATGGGCGGGGAGGATGGGTGCGTTGGAATTAATTCGTTGGGTAAAGGGAGAATAGTAGATGATGTTGAACCAGAGTAAGAAATTTTAATTATAATAGAAATGTATGCTACATATCATTCTCTTTGATTCCGCCCATTTCAATGTCCGTAAGAGTAAAAGCCTGAGATGGACGATGAATAGCTTCCATAACGGGGCTACTGCCCATTCCTGTTTTGTTGGAGCCAGTAAACGATTTGAAGTCTTTGATTTTTGGAGAACTATCAGGAGTCAGACGCTGGGTTATTCCAGTTGTCATATCCGCAGTGAAAGCAAATGGCTGAGTGCAAGAAACAGCCTTCAAGCGGTCATTCAACAGGTTCAACAAATAAAACTCAAATTTCAATTTGATGCTGTAGATCGCCACTTTCAGTAAGTTTTGGTATCCAAACAGTCCAATGTATTCCACAACCACCATTGACACATCCAGTGTGACAACAATAATATTGACGACAACAGAATGTTTTACCAAGTCCAAGTTTTCATTGTCAAACTTGCGTCGAATGTAAACCAAGTACGTAATTCCAATCACAACCTCTTGAACGCAAAAGAACGTCATCTGAATCTTCTCAATAACATCATACCCAATAATCCAAGACTCAGTACCAATCAAGCGACTTCCAAACGTAAACAACGTGGTCGGAACATGACACACGAAAAAATTGAACACAATAATCCCAAAGATATAACCCTGAATAGCCCGTGGAACGGATATAAGTTTTAAACGCGAGTACATTGTCATGGAAAACCCCGTAACCATGCCCCACCATCCAAAGGTGCACGGTGTCACAGCTTGCCACAGATTCTTGGGATCCCCATACAGGTCGAAGAATAAACTTACAAACCCTAAAGCGAAGATGATAGTTCCCACGGCCGCGACCATGAGACTTCGAAAGTATAGGGAGTCGTATGTTTTGAAGGTTGTCAGAGCAATGAAGATAACTTCGAGACAGTTGAAGACCCCGATGGAGGTTGCTCCTACTTGGAAATAGTTTTGAGCCATTGGCGTCGCTGCTGTTGTCGTGACGTTGTTGGTCATCAAGGTGAAGTTGGGGGAAGATTTCCATTCGGATTGCCTAAAATTCTTTGCTACATAGAGATGAAGGGTACTATGTGAAACTTAGAGCTTTGACCCGTTGACTTTACTAACATTGCTTAATTGCCTGAGTTTTTGAGTGCAGCCAGTTAAACAACTGCGTGACGGCCAGAATGTCTTGAACGAGTTCACGCGAAGTAACCAATTCGGTTTATTCCAGACCGTCTCAAAACAATCGAGATTTGCAGTCCCTGCTTTTGATATATAATTCGAACAAGAAAGAATATGTTTCGTAAAACGACAATAAATAGGCAGTAAATTTATAAGCTCTTCAAAGAAAAATTAAATATCGATCACCTTAACTCCCTCCATTTCAGCATCTGCAAGAGTAAATGCTTGTGATTTGCGATGAGCTGCCCGTCCCTCAGTACCTTGACTACATCCCATTTCCTCATCGCTAAAACTAGTGAATGTTTTCACAGCTTTAATTTTAGGAGAACAGAGAGGTGTCAACTGCGGGGTTGACCCAGTCTTATTTGCAAGTGCAAAGGGTTGAGCACTCGAGCTAACTTTCAACCTCTCGTTCAACAAATTGAGCAAATAAAACTCAAACTTCAGCTTGATGCTGTAGATCGCCACTTTTAACAAGTTTTGATATCCATAGAATCCAATGTACTCAACAACAACCATTGATACATCCAACACGACAACAATAACGTTCACAACGACGGAATGCTTTACCAAGTCGAGGTTTTCGTTATCAAACTTGCGCCGAATATAAATCAAGTAAGTGACTCCAATCACAACCTCCTGAACACAAAAGAAAGTCATCTGAATCTTTTCAATGATATCATATCCCATAATCCAAGGCTCGGTGGCAATCAACCGACTCCCAAAGGACAAAATCGTGGTTGGAATATGAGACACAAAAACATTCACCATAATCATCCTGAAAATAAAGTTCTGAACGGTCCTTGGAACGGAAATGAGCTTCAAACGCGAGTACATTGTCATGGAAAACCCCATAACCATTCCCCACCATCCAAAAACGCATGGCGTGACAGCTTGCCACAAATTCTTTTGATCCCCGTAAAGCTCGAAAAACAAACTCACAAATCCAAGTGCAAAGACGATGGTTCCGATTGCAGCGACCATAAGGCTTCGGAAGTATAAAGAGTTGTAGGTCTTGAAGGTTGTCAGAGCGATAAAGATAACTTCGAGACAGTTGAAGACCCCGATGGAGGTTGCTCCCACTTGGAAATAGTTTTGAGCCATCGGTGTGGCTGCTGTGGTTGTGATGTTGTGCGTCATCAATGATTCTGTGGGTAAAGATTGTCATAAGAGATTACCAGAAAAATCGTTGCAGAATACAATCCTTAGTAATAATTAATGACGATTCCATATGATACATCAGTTTATTTTTTTTTAACGCAGAAGATGGTGGCAACTTGTCGTCTGCCGTCAGCCTTTACCTCGCCCGATACTCTCGAAGCTACACAACGACAGCAATACTTGGAAGAACTTGCCGCCTTTCTCGCTCAAAACCAGCGACTCAGCTCAGCGCACACGTTTGACACTTTGAGGGAGGGTTTCGATAAAGTCTGGCCTGAAGAGTGGAAGCACCTCTCCAAGAGCGAACACTTTAATATTGAGCATTTGATTGATTTAGTGAAAGACGGCGTTATTCAGGTTTGTCTTGAAGCATTGATTGGAGAGTGAACGTAACACGATAAACATAGCCGAATTGGCCACTTTCGCTTAAAGGTTTTCTTGAAAACTGTATCAAACTGCAACTGCCTCGAAGTTTCAACTGCGATGACTTTACATCTGGAGTATTTGAGAGCCAAAAATCAAGCAACAAATCAACGACAGGAATGTCTCGAAAGAAGCTACACGAAGTTGATCGATTCTCCCGCGTTATACTTGACCGTATAAAACAGTCTGGTATCTCGGACACAGCCACCATTGTTGATGTAGGAGCTGGGCAAGGATATCTGACACATCGATTGAGCACGGAATATCCATGCATAGCTGTTGACTTCAATAGCCTTCAAACGGTTGGCTCTGAAAAGCGAGGAAGTAATATCCTGAAGAAGTTGTTGAATGATCGTGGGTTGTCAAAAGTCGATTTGGCTTATGCATCTGTGGATCGGAAGCCTGTGGTTCATAAGACCATCTTGATAAATGCGACATCACTGCAGAAAATGTTGGAGGAGTTAGAGGAAGCAGATGTGACTGGGAAAACTGATTTCGTGTTGGTTGGACTTCACGCTTGTGGCGATTTGTCAGGTCCAGCTATGCTGCAGACCTTTGAAAACTGTAAATCAGTTAAGATGGTGGCCGTGGTTCCATGTTGTTACAACTTGTTGACTGAGCCTGAAACCCCATGTGATGTCTGCGAAACTCACGGTAAAACGATGTGTTTCAGCACGCTGCATTCATTCAACAACTTCATTCAGGATTTGCAATGTCGAAATCCATACAAGCACTCACTCAAACGCACAACCTTACTTTGGGGTACAGCTCACGAAATCTGGCTGGTCAAACACTCTCAAACTTTGACAGAAATGGAATACATTCGAAACTTACTGGTCACTACAAAAGGGCCCTCTTTGACGCACTGCTTGCTCATTTTAACATTCAAACGGACATAAAAACCGATGATTTCAACCTGACAGATGGAAAGGAGCGGAAATTGAGGCTCGGCAAGTTATCGTCCGAAGCGTATGATGGCGGATTTGTTACTTATGCAGTCTCAGCTTTAAGTCGACTTGGATTAGAAAAGTGCGTGACTGAATCCCAAATTGAGGAGTTCATGGACCTTCCTAAGTACAAGAACGCATTGAATCTTATCGTATTAGTCACTTGCATCAAAAGTATGTTAAGTCGCGTCCTTGAGAGCTTGTTATTGATGGATCGTTTTATGGTGCTGGTCGAAATGAACGGAGTTACAGGTGCTGATAACGTGGATGTCGAAATGCTTAATCTATTTGACGTTGACGAAAGTCCACGGAATATGGTGTTTTTGGCGCATAAGCGTAGCGAATAAACGCGTTATTTATTTCCAAGCTGCGTTGGGGTTGTATCCATACTGAGAAACAGACCACTTTCCAAACCCTTTCATCTTTGGCGCCTCCTTCTGTATTACATCTTTGAATCGGTTATCATAAAATGACGAAGATTGTTGGGTTCTTGGATCTGCGTTTCCAGCGTAGCAACTAGTGTGATAGAAGAACCTCATTTTGCGACCATCTCGTACCGTGATGTCTTCACCTTAGTTTATTACGCGTTTGCACTCCCGACAACTGAAGCCTGTTCGAATTGCGTAGCCCTAAGAGATTCTGTAAAGATTTGATGAGGATTATGAGAATAATAGATTGCCTTTGAGATTGTCCAATAATCTGTCGTGAACGAAGACCTTCGACTGTCCGGCGGCGTTTTGTTTGTAAGGGTGAGACGAGAATCAGTGTTGGATGTGGAGGAATCGCGTTCCATTGTTTTTAAGTCGGGTTGGACAAACAACGAAACGTCAACAGTCCTGCCATAGGAGACCCAAATACCATAAAACTATTGAATATTATCACTTAATATGCATTTGCATATGTTTTTCCGGTTGTTAGACTTGTAGTAATTTTGAGGGTAAAAACAAAGTTCCTAATATTATCCGATCAATCAGCAGCTGCCTTCTTAGCTCAGTTGGTCAGATCGCCTGCCAAGACAGCTAGCAGGAGGCCACCAGTTCAAATCTGGTAGAAGGCATCCCCTATTCCGCTTTTAACCTCATATTACGAAATTAACGGCTACAGATCTGCCTGACAGATAAACAAGAGCACTGAATAGCGAATCTTGGTTTACAATAAGAATGTGCATGCACTCGTGGGCACTGCCATCAGTGTGGGTGAAAGTTGTTTTATCTGCAATACAAAGTTTTCTGCACTCCCACCACAAAATAAGCACAGCCAGTGGTATTCTTTCTATCTAGTAAGCGTTATTACCCACTGCGTATGCACACGTCGCTCTTCTTCCAAAATTGTGTGTGCACCTCAACAAACTGTCAACACCTTCCTCTCCCCTCCTCTCCACCTTTTTCCAAATAAAAGAGGGCCTCACGGGGAATTGAACCCCGGACCTCTCGCACCCAAAGCGAGAATCATACTACTAGACCATAAGGCCACCCGTTGACCGGGAATGACAAATGCTAGATAAATCCTTTGTTTCTTTTTTCAAGACAAGAAACAATTCAAATAACGCGTGCATTTTCTAGTCGTTTATTACAACAAGTTCAGCTTCCCATCTTTGCTGCCGCAAATATCTTTGCCCAGTCAGCTTCACCCAACTCCCCATCCCCATCAAAATCATTCTCATGAATCATCATTGCCAAATCCTCTTCCGTCAATGGATCCCCTAATTCCTTTGCAATTTTTGCCAGTTCGCGTTTCCCCACTTTCCCACGTTTATCGACATCAAACAACGCGAAACTGGCTTTGATTTCGGCGCTTTCGTCTTGTTGTGATAGTTTGACTGCCATAACGTACAAGAATTCGTCGAATGATAAGGCTTCATCTTCGTCGTCGTCTTTGTCGAACCATTTCGTGATTTCGAGGACTTCCTCTTGAGTTAAGTTGAAACCTAAAGCGCGCATTACAATTCGGAGCTCGGACGGATCAATTGACGCGGATCCTTTTGGGATTCAGTCGTTAGTGTGGAAATGTTGAACGAGGATGGGAATACCATCGGTATCAAACAAATCGAATACATCCCGGATTTCTTGCATTTGTGCAACCGTTATTTCATAGTAAGGCTTCTGCGGGCGGCGCGCTAGGACAGAGGGACGAATAACGGACTTTTTCCTTGCTTCTATTGGAGCTCCGTTTGCATCACGTCCAACAACAGAACCTTGCCGACTTGATCTGCGACCTCCCGTACTTGGCCTAGATATTATGGACTTGTTTCGAACAGGAGTTGGAATGAAATCGTCATCTTCGTCAACATTTGGCATTATAAAGCCAGGAACCATTGAAGAACGACGAGAGATTTGTTGAGGCTCATCTGGAAAAATACGCCGTATCCGAACAAAACTGTTGGAAAAACAGTTATGTTAAGCCACACAAGTCATCAATTAACCAACCCTGCGTTCTTGTTCACCATGACTCTAGATTTCCGCTTTGGTTCGTCATCTGATTCAGAATCGTGATGGAGGTCTCCCAAATAGTCATCTTCGCTGGAATACGTTGACTCGTCTTCATCATGATGGGAACCATCGTTTTCGTTATCGTGTTCGAGACGTGAAGTCTGGTGAGAAGCTACAGATCGTGTATCATCGCCCATTGTTTTGTGTTCAACTAATCTGATATTAAGTTAACAAAGAAACAAAAAACGAAGTTGAAATGACATCGCACGCCGAGTGGACTGCCAAAGCCCAAGCCGAAATCGACAACAAGACCAAGCCAGTTGGATCGCTTGGCAGGCTTGAGCAGTGGAGTGTCAGACTGATGGCGTTGCAGCAAACAGTCAAGCCAATGTAAAGCCCACCTTCGTAGATCCACTCTTAATTAACCCAACCAACAGCATCAACAACGGCCACGTTCTCCTCTTTGCTGCTGACCACGGCATCGCAGACGACGGCGTCTCCCAATTCCCAAAAGTTGTAACACGCGAGATGCTCAGGTACATCCCACACGATCAATCACACTTGAAAAGCTGAATCCACGAGCAGAAATCTGTCATCGGGTGGTGCCGCCATCAACGCCATCTGCAACGCTAATGCCCTGAAGCTCTCTGTCATTGACGTTGGAGTCGACACTGACGAAACCTTCACCGGGATCCATGTTGCGAAAGATACAGCGCCACATGGAACAAACTCGTCTCTTCGTGGACCTGCAATGACGGATTCGCAGTTGGATGCAGCGCTGTCAGCTGGAATCGAATATGCTAATACCGCAATTGACAGCGGTGCCCAGGCTATAGCGATTGGGGAGCTTGGAATTGGAAATACTGCTGTTGCTGCGATTTTGCTTGCAGCTGTTTCTGGGAAATCTGCTGCTCAAGTTACAGGGAAGGGAACTGGTGTTGAAGGGGAGCGGTATGACCACAAAGTTAAAATAGTTGAACAAGTCCTGGAGAAACATAAGGATGTTATTAAAAGCCGTGAATGGAGGGAAATGTTCAAATGTTTGGGTGGGGTATGTGTTTCAATGATTTTCTTTCAGTTGAACTAATTGTAAATAGCTCGAAATCGCTGCTATGGCAGGTGCAGCTGTTGCAGTCGCGCGCTCTCCAAAGAAGCCAGCTCTATTGGTCGACGGATTTATTTCAATGGCTGCATTCCTTTTTGCAATCCATCTCTTTCCAGCTGAAAAGGAGCTGTTAGGCCATTGCGCATTCCTTTCTCACGCGAGCGCTGAATCAGGAACGCGTATCGCTATTACAGAGATTGAGAAGGCACTTGGCGTTACTGAAGGAGTTATGACGCCGATGTTGGATATTGGGTTCAGGCTGGGTGAGGGTACTGGTGCTGCTCTCGTGTTTCCAATTTTGAAGGCGGCAGCTCATATTGCTAGTGATATGAACACGTTTGCTGGTGCTGGCGTGAGTGGGAGTAATTGAACTTCGAAGGACTTTGAAAACAATGCGTCCGATAAATACATTCGGATCATGGAACCATTTGATTTATTACAACTTCTTGGCAATGACATACCAGTTATCCCGATCATACCCACTCGTCTCAATTTCAACACCCCCAGCCCCAGCAACAACCTCATCCAACTCACCCTTCACAAACACGTGATAATACCGCTGATACACGATATTCTCATTCCCACTCTTGACCACCTCCTTCACCTCCCCTTCCTCCTTCTTCAAGCTCAACGCATTCAACCCATGCTCCAATACCTCTTCTTTCCCCTTCGCAACGCCAGCCTTCTCTTTCCCCGCCGCCTTAGATCCAAACGACTTCTTGTCCAAATTCCATGGCACAAACACGTCCTGTTTGTCAAACCTGCGTTTCGATCCATCTTCCTGCTCCAGCGCCCACACGAAAATCAAAACGCGACCCCCGGGTTTAAGCGTGCGAATGAGTTCTTTGACGGCAGCGACGCGGCGGTCGAAGGATGTGAAGTGGTGGATGACTGCAATAGAGACGACAAAGTCGAAGCTGGAGGTTCGGTAAGGGAGGGAGAGGTTGTCTGCGACCATTGTTTCGTGGCCTTTTTCGTGAGCGATTTGGATGAGGTTTGCTGACCTGTGTGTATGACAGGGTAAGGAGGCAGCTTCAAATGAGAAGGGGTAGGTCCGTACATGTCTGAGCCGATTGTGTAAAGTGATGGATTTACGCCAAGGTATTTGCCGTTTCCACAGCCTACATCTGCTCCGATTGATCCAGGCGGTAATGATTTGAGGAAGGTTTCAACAACTGGCCAAGGCTGCAGCAGGTCATTAGCGGGTCATACTATATGGTATACTACTAAATTACCTTGTATCGAGTAGCGCTAAAGTGTGGAGCAATCGCTTCGTAGACCTAGTTGGTGAGCTGGTATTTAGGTGTGCAAGCTTCCAAAGGATCCCGCCTGGTACCTTCTGCACGTGAGTCCGCTCAATCAACTCAAGTTCCTTATCGCTCAAAGCCACGTTAGTTGGATCTGGAGTCTCTGAAGCCATTCTCGTTTCTTTCTTTGTTTTTTTCAATCAAACCGAAATGGCCTCTCTCCTTTCCCAATTCCCAACACTCGCCAAATCGATTGTGACTCAGCAGAAGGCTGGTTCAAAGCCAGGAACAAACGCAAAGAAACCAGCTGCATCGGCCGGGGCTGCACCCGTGAAAACTGTCAAGAAACCACTCGCTGTAAAGACAAACAACAAGATCGGAGACGCGCTCGCGGCAAAGTTTGGCGGCGATTTGTTCGGAAACAAGACGAAAAAGAAGAAGAAACGGGTCGAGAAAGAGGCTGGGCCGGTGGAAGCAGAGAAGTCAGGGCAAAAGGAAGCTGTCAGAGATGTGTTCAAAGAGTGGGATGAACAGAACGCTGACGACAACTCGGACGATGATCAGAACGATGAGTTTGATGATGATATGGATTTGATGGAAATTGCAAAGACTGGTGGACTTGGAGAAGATGAAGATTCAGACGACGATCAAGAAGAAGCTGAAGACGAGGACGAAGACGATATGGAACTTGATTCATTACTTGCTACTTTGTCGAAGGGTGTATCAAAGAATACTGAGGAATCTTCGAAACTAGCACATTCCACGTCTGCAACTTCAACCAACCCAATCTCAAAAAAGAAGGCTGCAGCTGCGAGGAAGGTTGTCAACTCTACCAACGCAGTTGTTGCTGTGCACAATGCAAATGCCGGAAAACGCGATCCTTCCATGTTGGGCGGAGCAAAGGAATGGAGGCATTTCATGACATCTGATGTGACCAAGATGCTCACTGAACCGAAGGTGAAAGAAGGTTTGACAAAAGAAGAGAAGAACAGGACAAGTAAGTGTCTGTCTGCTTTCTGTCACACACAAGAGATCTGACCAACCACGCATCAACCAGACAAGACGACGCGCACGACCGTGAACTAATGTCCCTCCTCGAAACCTCAAAACTAATCGAACAAGTCACATCCGAAACCTCTTTGGAAAAGACCGTCGCAAATACATGGAATCCAAAATGATTGAACTCGGCGCCAAAAAGGGACCCAACGAGAAAATGCCGTTCCCCATGCGACTTTTCCATATTAAAAATACCGAAAAGAAGATGGAACAGCGTCTT